AAAATTCTGTCATTAATTACTCACCCTCATGTCGTTCTAAACCTGTAAGACCTCCGTTCATCTTCGGAACACAAATTAAGATATTTTTGATGAATTCTGAGAGCTCTCTGACCCTCCCATAGAAAGCAATGTAACTACCACGAACAAGGTCCAGAAACGTAGCAAGGAGATCGGTAAAATAATCCATGTAACATCAGGGATTCAACCGTAATTTTACGAAGTTACGAAAATACTTTTTGTACGCAAAGAAAACAAAAATAACTACTTTATCTGAACGTAAACAGCATATGCTATTCTGTGTCAGCTGCGTCACACGTATACGTTTTCTACGTTGTTTACGCTTTGATTTGAATGAAAACAACGTATCCGCAGCTGACACAGAATAGCATATGCTGTTTGTTTACGTTTTAGCTTCGTAAAATTACGGTTGAACCCCTGATGTCACATGGATTATTTTACCGATCTCCTTGCTATGTTTCTGGCCCTTGTTCGTGGTAATTACATTGCTGTCTATGGGAGGGTCAGAGAGCTCTCAGAATTCATCAAAAATGTTAATTTGTGTTCCGAAGATGAACGGAGGTCTTACGGGTTTAGAACGACATGAGGGTGAGTAATTAATGACAGAATTTTCATTTTTGGGTGAACTAACCCTTTAAAGGATAAGTTCACTTCCAGAATGAAAATTCTGTCATTTACTCACCGTCCACTTGTTCCAAACCTGTATGAGTTTCTTTCTTATGTTGAACACAAAAGAAGATATTTTGAAAAATGTTAGTATCTGCATAGTTGATGTGCACCATTGACTTCCATAGTAGGAAAAAAAAAATACTATGGAAGTCAATGGTGTCCATCAAATGTTTGAAAATATCTTCAAAATATCGTTTCCAGTAAATTTGACATTTGCACTGGAAAACAAGACAAAAATACTGAGGAAGCGCATTATTTTTTGGCTGTGTGATCAGAAGGTACAGTGACAGTTATTTCCATATTTAATTAGTTGTGAGCAGAGCTATTCAAGCTTTAAGCTTTTATTTTTGCGAAATGAATTAAAAAGCAATTGTATTTTAAAACGGAAGAAAAAAAGAGATTGTATTTTAAAACATTGAAGTGTTGCTAATTCAACACATTGTGCTCTTAGACATTTACATTTAGAGAACACACTTTTGATCAAATTAATGTGTCCTTGCTGAATAAAAGTATTAATGTCTCTTTTGAACCCAAGTTTGAATGGCATTGTCTGTTTTTTTATTGTCAAGAGTTGAGAGAAATCCTTATCACAGTTATTACTTTAGTCATGGGATGCTGGAATGCTTCATTCGTTTCTGGAAAATGTGACTTGAAAAATGGCAAAGGTTTTCTCAAGTGTCTGTCAAATATGTGCAGGATTTGCTGTCCTAGATATGGAGAGAGGAAGCAGACTCAAACTGACTGGGGCAAGCGCTGTGTGGACAAGTTTGACATCATCGGCATCATTGGAGAAGGAACCTACGGTCAGGTGTACAAGGCAAAGGACAAAGACACAGGTGTGTTGTTTAAATTGGATGAATACTAGTGTGGAAATGTCATAATGCGCTCCAAAATGTTTGCGTGTTCCTTAAAATATAAATCATTTTGTAACATGTCTTTACTTTTGGTCAGTTAAACCCATCCTTGCTGAATAAAAGTTTTAATTTCTTTAAAAAAAAAAACATCTTACCCCAAAAAGTCGAACGGTAGTTTGTTTTCTTTGCTTTAAATGCAGAATTATTTGCTCTTAATTAGAAAAGCTGTGCTTATCCGATCATTCTCAGTAATTGCGCCGCTATTTTTGCCATTGTAAAAATCTATGTTTTTGAGAAGAGAAGACGTGTTGACAGCCTTCTGTAATGTTTTGGTGTCTAAAGGAGAGCTGGTGGCATTGAAGAAGGTGAGATTGGATAACGAAAAGGAGGGTTTCCCCATCACTGCTATCAGAGAGATCAAGATCCTGAGACAACTCAACCATCGCAGTGTTGTCAACATGAAAGAAATCGTCACTGATAAACAAGACGCACTTGACTTCAAAAAGGATAAAGGTTTGTTTAAATGCATTTACATGTTTATATTTAGTTTTGTATTTAACGTGGAGTTTTCCCAGTGGTGAACACATTCTCCTCTTAGAGTTAGTGGCATATTTGTGGCCCACTCAGTTTTAGACTTCTCCTGAAACGCTTCATTTTCTGCCTGCACTCACTCATTTTCTAGGCCTACCTCTGTGTATTAACCTGAATGTATTTTTGTGCACTAGGTGCATTTTACCTGGTGTTTGAGTACATGGACCATGACCTGATGGGGCTGCTGGAATCAGGACTGGTGTCTTTCTCCCATGAGCATGTGCAGAGCTTCATGCGTCAGCTGATGGAGGGATTAGATTATTGCCACAAGAAGAACTTTCTGCACAGAGACATCAAGTGCTCCAATATCCTGCTAAATAACAGGTACCAGTTTGTGTTTTGAAATATTGCATGAAGTTGGTCTCTTATTAGTGTCATACAAATTTACATGATGTGTTCAGCTACACTGACGTTCAATTTTATTTAAGAAATTAATCATTTTATTTGGCAAGGATGCATTAAATTGATCAAAATTTAAAGTAGATGTTTATAATGTTACGAAAAATATTGATTTCAAATTGGCCTGTCACAGATAACAACCTTTTGTTGTGCGATATGTTGCCCCAGAAATAATTGCGATAAGCAATATTATTGTCATTTTAGCGCAAGTGGAATGTACAAAACATGATGACATTATTTTTTAAGTAAATATAATGGGCGATATATTGCGTCACCAAAAATTGAGGTCATGTACATATGTTGCGCGATAAGTCGATATATTGATTATTGCGACAGGCCTAATTTCAAATAAATGCTGCTCTTTTGAACTTTCTGTTCATCAAAGTATCCTGGAAAAAATGTATCATGGTTTCCACAAAAATATTAATCAGTAACCCTTTTTTAACAGTGATGAGAAATGTTTCAAGCAGCAAATCAGCATATTAGAATGATTTCTGAAGGAATGTGGCACTAAAGACTGGAGTAATGATGCTGAAAATTCAGCTTTGCAGGAATAAATCGCATTTTAAAATATATTCAAATAGAAAACCAGTATTTTAAATTCTAATAATATTTCGCAGTATTGCTGTTTTCTGTATTATTCATCAAGTAAATGTAGTCTTGGTGAGGATAAGATACTACTTATCCTACTGGGGAAGTCGTGGCCTAATGGTTAGAGAGTCGGACTCATAACCCAAAGGTTGTGGGTTCGAGTCTCGTACCGGCAGGGATTGTAGGTGGGGGGAGTGAATGTACAGCGCTCTCTCCCACCTTCAATACCACGACTGAGGTGCCCTTGAGCAAGGCACTGAACCCCCAACTGCTCCCCGGGCGCCGCAGCATAAATGCCTGCCCACTGCTCCGGGTGTGTGTTCACGGTGTGTGTGTGTTCACTGCTGTGTGTGTGCACTTTGGATGGGATAAATGCAGAGCACTAATTCCGAGTATGGGTCACCATACTTGGCCACATGTCACGTCACTTTCACTACTTTCAAAAACCGTAAAAAGTCGTAGCAGCCGTAGACTTTTGAGTAGTAGCATGCATATGATTTTTGCATTCATTTTACATTCTTAACTAACGTTGTGCTCTCTGAAATAAACACTGAAGCAGTGTATCAATACATTTTTCATACTTATTTTTTTTTGTTTTTTACAGTGACGTTATGTACTGGCATTTACCCAATACTTGTTAAAATTATAAAATGTGTCCCAGTTTACAAAATAGTGTTAAATAATATATTATGGAAGATTTAGGGTTTTTGCAGATTGTGTTCCATCCGCCTTACTGTGTCTTTTTTCTTCTTCTTTTTACAGTGGTCAGATCAAACTTGCCGATTTTGGTTTGGCTCGTCTTTATAACTCTGAGGAAAGGTAAGTAAATGTTAGGCTTTCTCGATCTTTCTGTAGGTTGTGCTAAACAAGAATTTAGCTTGATCGAATTATGGGGCGCAAAAATTGACACCCTTCAGCTTTAAAGTTTCTGTAGACGACATTTGATTTCAGAAACAGTAAACATGATTGATACTGAAAAGCTTTGGTGTATAAGACTAACTTGATGGTCATTCCCAGTCGGCCGTACACTAATAAGGTGATCACGCTGTGGTACCGCCCACCTGAGCTGCTACTGGGAGAGGAGAGATACTCACCTGCTATTGATGTCTGGAGTTGCGGGTAAGACGTCCTGTCTGTTTCCCATCTACATTTACACCCCAGCTGCTGTTCATGTAATAATGTTGTTTGGGTTTCTTTTTGCTCTTGTGTAAAGGTGTATTTTGGGAGAACTCTTCACTAAGAAACCAATTTTCCAGGCCAACCAAGAGCTTCTACAGCTTGAGCTGATCAGGTACGTTTCTCACAATCTCTGAATGCACATGTGATGTTGCTCTAATGCTGAAGGAGGGGAAAGGGCTTTGTGAAATGCTGTTACACTCCATCTGTTTTGTATTTTGTTTTGGTCAGTCGTTTGTGTGGTAGTCCGTGTCCTGCTGCTTGGCCAGATGTAATTAAGCTGCCGTACTTTAATACCATGAGACCCAAGAAACAGTACAGACGACGCTTACGGGAGGAATTTGCTTTGTAAGTTCAGCCTGATTTTTGAAACTCTTCCATCATTCTCTGACAGATTTGAATCTTTGTTAAAAGAAGTCTCTCACTATGAGACTGCATTTATTTCATCACAAATACAGTCAAAATAATAAGATTGTGAAATGTTGTTGCAATTTAAAATGACTGTTTTCTATTTGAATATATTTGAAAATGTATTTTATTCCTGTGATGCAAAGCTGAATTTTCAGCATCATTACTCCAGTCTTCAGTGTCACGTGATCCTTCAGAAATCATTCTAATATGCTGATTTACTGCTCAAGAAACATTTTTATTATCAATATTGAAATAGTTGTGCTGATTAATATTTTTATGGAAACATGATACTTTTTACTTTTAACTTTTACTTAGTTTGGAAAAACAGCATTTATTTGAAATTAAAATCTTTTGTAACATTTATAAATGTCTTTATTGTCACTTTTGATATTTAATGCATCTTTCCTGAGCAAACTTATTAATTAAAAAAAAATCTTACCCCAAACTTTTGCACTGTAAAATAAAAAGATGATTATTCATGGTTGTTTTGCCATAGTTATGCTCCTGAATATTAATGATGCAGTGTAAGTCACTTTGGATAAAAGCATCTGCCAAATGCATAAATGTATTTATCTTTTTAGTAGAGTTTACAGTTTGTCACAATATTTTTTTACACCGTACTTCCTTTATAATCACAATGTCTGTCTATAGTCTGCCCACCTCTGCTCTTGACCTGCTGGACCACATGTTGACGCTGGACCCCTCGAGACGCTGCACGGCCGAACAGGCCCTCGCCAGCCAGTTTCTGTGTGATGTGGAGCCCAACAAGATGCCGCCACCCGAGTCAGTGGACACACAAAAACATCTTATGTGATTTAAATCGTATTTTATGGTGTTAATGAAACTACATTTGTGGAACGAGTGGTAAAGTCACACCACGTTTTGTAATTTAGTTTTAAATGCAGCTGCAATTAAATGTTGTTAGACTATATAATGAAATTTAACTCCATATTAATGACTAGCTGATTATATGGCTGTTTATACTAGTAAATATACATTCGTATTATTTTTTCTTTTTAGTTTGCCTCATTGGCAAGACTGTCATGAGCTCTGGAGCAAGAAGCGGCGGCGGCAGAGGCAAAGCGGAGTGCCTGAGGATTTCCCTGTTGCCAAAGTTCCCCGAAAGGAACCCGCAGGACCTTCAGGAGGAGAAAACAGCCGCCCGCCGCCGAGTCCACCACCCCCACCACCCTCATCTGCCCATCCTGCACAGGCAAACATCACAGCCAGTGAGTTGGAAGGTGGGCCATAACTTGACAGGAACACTTGGGTTCTGTTCACCTCAAAATCATAGGCAGGTAGTTAGAGGAACTAAACTATTCAGGTAAATGCAGATCTTCAGAAGCGGGGCAGAGTGACCATTTGTTTAAACTGGTCATACAAAGAAATTAATAAATAAGCTTTCCATTGATGTATAGTTTATTAGGATAGGACAATATTTGGCCGAGATACAACTATTTGAAATCTGAGGGTGCAAAAAATCAAAATATTGAGAAAATCGCCTTTAAAGTTGTCCAAATGAAGTCCTTAGCAATGCA